GCACACATGGGTCACCTAGTGACTGTGCATCTGACCCCAGCGGCCAGCTCAGCACACATGGGTCACCTAGTGACTGTGCATCTGACCCCAGCAGCCAGCTCTGCACACATGGGTCACCTAGTGACTGTGCATCTGACCCCAGCAGCCAGCTCAGCCCACATGGGTCACCTAGTGACTGTGCATCTGACCCCAGCAGCCAGCTCAGCACACATGGGTCACCTAGTGACTGTGCATCTGACCCCAGCAGCCAGCTCAGCACACATGGGTCACCTAGAGACTGTTGCGTTTGACCCCAGCGGCCAGCTCTGCACACCTAGGTCACCTAGTGACCGTGCGTGTGAACTCAGCGGCCAGCTCTGCACACCTGGGTCACCTAGTGACCGTGCGTCCGACCCCAGTGGCCACCATGTTCAACCACTTGCCGCTTGGTCATATTTTCTTCTGTCGTCTGTGTAGTTAACCAGGAATCTGTGACGTTGGAGCTCTAGGATCTGATCTTATGAACCAGCTCCAGGTGCACCGAGAACCTGTAACCCATGGAGTCTCCTCTGACTCTGTGACCTGTTCCTGAGAACTTCCTTTCTGTAAATGTTGACAGACTCGTAAGACATTCACAGCGTCACGTTATTTGTACTCACCCACACGTGCCTGTCCTCTGTGGTCCCTCTTCTCTACCAATTTCCTTGCTTTTCGTCATTTTCTTTCTACCTTAAAACTTCTTCACGTCTTTTCTCCAGCTTTGATGCTGCTGTCGGCATATGCTCTGGGCGTCCACCACCTGGGGCTGTCCTCATCTGTGCGGACCTTGTCAGCAGGTGTAGACCTCGAGCTTGTGGCCGACTTCAGGTGACAGAGGCACAGTTCCAGTGTCTCCTGGACTCCATCATGCCCACCAGAAGTCATCTGTCGGTCTCCTTGTTACTTCTGTGAAGTTACTTTGTCTCTCCTTCTCCCTGACCTCTTAAATTTTTCTGTCTTGATATTTCAGCACCAGCAGGGCCAGGGGTGGTTGTATGTGCCCTGCCCTGCTTAGGATTCTCAGTGTGTTTTTAATCTGTGGTTAATAGCTTTCATCAGTTAAAGTTCTGACACACTTCACTACCTCGACTCACTCATCTCTCCTTGTAGGATAAACCTATATTTTCTAATGAGTCCTGCATGTTTGTTTGTCTATTTTTGTCTTTTTTCTGTGGCTCCATTTTGATTTCTTCACCTCCCTTCATTCTCTAAACTCCTCTTTGTCTTTGTCGAATAAGGTATTAAACTACCAATTTCTCAATGCAGTTATTATGTTCTTCATTCATAAACTCATGTTGAATTCTTTTATAGGATTCTGCCACTGAAATCCTCCATCTTTCCCCCATTGTCTTAAAAAAATTCGTCACAGTTACTTTAAGCTCGTGATTGACATTCAGATCTCTGGAGCACCTGTGCACCTGTGTGGTCTTCATTTCTCCTCTTGGTCGGTTTGGTCTTCGTTTTTCCTCTTGGTCTGTGTGGTCTTTGTTTCTCCTCTTGGTCTGTTTGGTCTTTGTTTTTCCTCTTGGTCTGTTTGGTCTTTGTTTTTCCTCTTGGTCTGTGTGGTCTTTGTTTTTCCTCTTTTTCTGTTTGGTCTTTGTTTCTCCTTTTGTTCTGTTTGGTCTTTGTTTCTCCTCTTGGTCTGTTTGGTCTTTGTTTCTCCTCTTGGTCTGTTTGGTCTTTGTTTCTCCTCTTGTTCTGTTTGGTCTTTGTTTTTCCTCTTGGTC